AGCACCTCGGCCAGCCGCTCCAGCTCTGCAGCCTTCTTCTGCATGGTATTCCCGATCCGGTCCATCTCTCTGCTAAGAGGCACAGAACCAGGGGTTTTTGCTCAGCCACACACAATTCATCATGCAGGGAAATGCATCAGTCTTGCATTTTGAAAAATGAGCAGAAATGCTGTGCAGCAAAATGTGCACCAGCAGCTTTCTAGCTGACAAAAACACAGAAAGGTGGGACGAATGGACTGAAAAACAAAGGCATGCAAGCATCCACGCGGGGACGATTTCGCAGAGTAAACAATGCACTGACAGCTCGCTTTTTGCTTACCCTTCAAGCACCATTGAGAGCGAAAAGAAGAGCTTATCAATTATTCCTTTGATGAATGAGGAGAGTTACTTCATCCCAGGAAACATGTGCAACAATGCAGGCAGTCACAAGTCACACCCAGCCTCAGTGTGCCAGCAGCTCCATCAGCAGCGGTCCACTTTGAATTGCTCGAAAACCTCCAGATATCTGCACACCCACACACATACATTAATGCATGCGTGCACGCCGAACTCGCTTTGTGTATTCCTCTACAATGTCTGTAAAAACAGCCGAGTGCTCTTCTTCGCGCTGGGTCGGTCTGTTTGGCACTGACACTGACACACCACACGAGATGAACGCACGTTTTTCACCACGGTACAGCCAGTGCCCATCCACAAAGCCCCCGCATTGGGAGGACTCTGCTGTCGTCACTTGGGGAGTTAACCGTAGGGGCGGGGTTACAGAGGCGCTCGATTCACACACCGCCCTCTCCTGGAAAGACTTAAAAGACTGGGACACAAATCGAATGAAATTAGATTTATTAAACAAAGAACTCGAGCTTTTCGGAAAAAGATTATGACCTCATTTTTGTTAATAATGATGGTTTTTGGTCTAGCTTTCCACTAAAGGGGATACTTTAGCTCTATAATGTATGTGAGAACGTTTTGTCTTTTCTCCTTCCCAGTCCCAATTCACCTTTCCATCCGTTTTGCTCAATATATGAGAGTATTTTTCTCCTAAGTGACTTGGTGGTAAGGTGTGATTGTTATGACGTTTTTTTTTTCTTTGCAAAATTACTGAAAATGTGAACAGGATCATTTGAGTAGCTTTAGATTTAGTTTTATTCTTATTATATTTTAGATAAGATTTTAGTCTTATTATATATAAGTGTGCCAGAACCGATTTCCAAAAGGATGTGTAGTGAGAAAAATGAGATCAGTGAGAGTTCACTTGCATGCATTTTTCTCATTCCAGAAATACAAATATTATTACCCAGTAATAAAATATGATGGGAAAAATGATATAAAATAGTAATTGTAGCAATACAATATACAAACAAAATAATAATAATAATAATGCCCACATATTGTGTAACTAAAGACTGATGTCATTTCTATCACAACTGCATTGCTTTCTTGACCCAAACATATGTTTAACAGTTCGTTTTCAAACTTCAAACTCTGTTTTAGGTGTTCGGATTCCCTGCTTCAGTCTGGACAGCAGGCGTAAACACAGCAAAAGTGCTGTGTTTTAAAACAAAATCCTATTAGTGTGGATGTAGCCCAAGGCATCAAGATTTACATCCGTCAGTTTAACGGGATGCGTGAACTGCCTTCTATGTGAACATACAATTACCCGGAGAGGAATACAGTTCCACGTGCCAGCTCATGCTTTACTTTTAATAGAGAAGAGCACACCTTCAAAAGTCCGGCATGAAGTGGTCAACTTCCAGTGGAGAAAACATAATGCAGGGCCCCATAGGGTGTCCTTCCAATGGAGAAAATGTGATGCAGGGCCCTCTAGAGTGCCCTTCCAGTAGAAAACACAATGCAGTCCCAAGTAGGTTGCCCTGCATGCTAGAAAATTAGTTATTGATGAGAGAGTGACAGAAAGAACACTTGTTAACTTTTAAGATGCATGGCAAACTAAGCTCAACAGGCTACATACAGACAACTTTCATTTTAGCTTGTTTGTAACAATTTTTATTAGCTGGCATGCTGTGCTGTGTAATCATGCTGGCTTTTTACTCGTGAAGGTTTATTGCACTTACTTAGAGTAACAAGCGAAACATCTATTTGATCCACTTGATCTGCTCGCTCACTGTATTCTGCATTTGTGTGTGTGCAGATATAAAGAGTCTGATGTACACAGGGTGGGAGAAAGGCTGCTGCATGATTATAAATTAAACAAATAATTTTGGTTTTGTGGAAATTGTTTTGTTGTTGTTGTTCATAAATCAGATTTGTGTATGCTGGAACACCCAGAAGTTGCTTCTGGGAAGATTGTGGCTGGCGATCTGCCAATTGGTTAGGGTGGGCTTTGAGACTTCCTCATAGGCATCCTGTAACAGGATGTGTATGAGTCACAATCTGGGCAGACGGACTATGACAGAGAAGCTCATCGACCCCTCTCATTGATCTACCAATATGTTCAGGTAATTATTGTTTAAGGTTGATTTAATTGCGTGCTGCATGATCTGTGAATTGCATTCCTCTTTTGAAAATGATATAAATACAACACAAGGTTGTACAACGTATTGAAAGTTTGTAGTCCCCCGTTGCTACACTCAAAGAACATAGAACCGTACTTAATGTTAGTCTTTGAAATATTATGTCAGACTGAGATAAGTTCATGTGAAAATTCTTTTTTGTCACTGCAGAGTTTTAAGGAGGAAAAGAGCTTTCTTGTTGGTGGGAGCTCTTGTCATGATCCTTTGTAAATATTGCATACACCACAAAACCATTCACCTCAAAGTAGATGTGAGAAAGGATGAAACAAAGTTACCCAGTAAAAATACCTTCTATGTATACCCATGGCCAAGATGTACATAAAAGGTGTCTGCTGCCAGCATCACAAACTTCAGATCCCTTCCTGATGCCATACAAGACTTTCTCTACTATCGACACTGTCGACATTTTCCCATGCTACTAGACATTCCTGACAAATGTGGGGGAGCTGATGCGTCCCGCAAAGTCTTCCTTCTACTGGTCATTAAAAGCGCCCCTGTAAACTACAACCGCCAAGAGGTGCTGCGCAAAACCTGGGCTAAAGAGAGGTTACACAGTGGTGTGTGGATCAGGAGGATCTTCCTGTTAGGAACAATGGATGCTGGTTTTGAGAAAGAGCGACTGAACAAACTCCTAGAGCAGGAGCAACGCGAGTACAAAGACATCTCGAGTACAAAGACATTCTCCAATGGGACTTCTGTGACACATTCTACAACCTCACCTTGAAGCAGATACTCTTCTTAGAATGGATGGAAAGAAACGCTTCCTGCTAAATGGTGATGATGATGTGTTTGCCAACACAGACAACATGGTTGAGTATCTCCAAAGCCTCAAGGACAATGATGGCAAGAGGCACCTCTTTACTGGCCATCTGATCCAGAATGTGGGGCCTATTAGATTACCATCAAGCAAGTATTTTATTCCAGTTCAGGTGCAGGGTCAGACTCATATCCCCCTACTGTGGTGGTGGGGGGTTCCTCTTGTCTGGCTATACAGCTTTGGTCATATACAATATGTCCCAGTCCATTATCATTTTTCCCATTGATGATGTTTACATGGGAATGTGCCTGGCCAAAGCAGGACTTAGACCTGATTCCCATTTGGTGTGAAGACAGCAGGACTGCACATTCCCTCCTACAAAGTCGATGAACATGATCCTTGCTATTATAAAGGAGTTCTACTTGTTCACAGATTCCTTTCAGCTCAAATTTATCTTATGTGGCACAGAATACATGCTTTAACAGTACCAAATACTAACTTAGACGTGGTGACAGAGCTTGTTGACACTAACATACACTCACTGGCCACTTTATTAGCTCTTGTTCAGTCTAATGCAATTCACATCAACAGGTCTGCTATAAATTCTATATTCACAAAGCTGGCTGCATTATGCATTATATTGAGAGATGTTTGCACGATATTGCCACCCTCATGTATGTTAACTGGATGGACAAAATGTTATAAACACCGATAATGCTTCAGATTACACATTACAGTATTATGGAATATCAATAAAATACTCACTGGGCACCTATGTATTTTAAAATTGTGATACATTTACTTTGGGAAATGACATTCTAATTATTATTTATCAATATTAAATACATTTTGTTGCTTTGGAACAAAACATTTGGTTAAGCCTGCAAAGGAGGGTATACCCTTATACCTTCACCTTTATATGTATTTTTATCATGTTTTTAAAATGATTTAAAAAAATACAGGGGAACAATAAGGTAGTTTGGGCTGATATGTAAGATCAAAACTGCTGTTTTAAGTTCAGCTTTTATGTGGAGTGTAGGCTAGTTCATTCAGAAAAAACTTTGTTTATTGAGCAACATATAGTAGGCCTATAAAGAATAGCATGTAAAGCTATTCATAACTCAATATTTATCAGATTTCTCTGTTTTAACCACCTTGCATGTAAAGCATGCTCAAGTGATTCAAGCTGAAGTAATTTACATTACTTTTTAGTAATGCAGTGCCATCAAGACAACTCACTGAACATGAGAGAAATCTCCCTTATTGTCATAGCGTTTGGTGGATAACAAGGTCCGACCGCGACACTGGCTAATAAGGGCATTGCGGGAAATCTTTTTTGTTTAGTTTTTAGATCATAGATTTGAGAATGCCACATTATCTAATAATACATAACAGTCAACAGGTTGTGGCAGAAACATAACACGACCCACGATTCAGAAATCGTAGAAATCGTTTAAGTTAGTCGTTAGGCTACTAACAAGAGCGTAGACTTTGGCAGAGACGATCCATACCAATGTCCAGCGACGACTGAACTGTCCCTACCAATAATTTAGATTAAAACAATTAACGTTACATATAACCACTGTTGTCCGTCAGCGTCTAGTTATGTTTATTTGGTAGACACACGGTTGACATGGCTTGTTCTTCCCACGAATCCAATGTTTTCTTTGTTTTGTTTTAAGATAATGTCCTTCCCTTCATGCGCCTCACAGTGGTTTGGTCCGCTGCTTGACTTACTGACCCTTTTCAGCCCCTCAGCTGCTTTATTGCTGAAGTCTCATCGTTCCCACCAACAATAACAGCTTTGTTCATTTTAACAAGAACATATGACTCTAAAACTCCTTACTCGGGCCAGTGGCGCAATGGATAACGCGTCTGACTACGGATCAGAAGATTCTAGGTTCGACTCCTGGCTGGCTCGAAACTTTTGACTGAAAAATGTTCCAGCCATCTAGCACTAAGAACCGAAACGGAAACTCACTGAAACAAGCGATCATTATTATACACAGGCTGAGAGATCTGACTGCGGACAACAAGATTGGCGGTTCGACTCCAGCTTAGGGCTGTACCCCATCGAAGTAAGTAAACTGTGTTTAAGTGTTTGTTTTCTTTATAAATAGTCGTACACGATATATTCCATCGGTCGATTTTGTTGTTCAGTGTAACATTACATCAAATGGCCTTAGAATGCTACAGTGTTACTTTGGACAACATGACTGTCCACTACTGCAGCAGGGACTAATGTCTGAATGCAGGCCTATAATGCATGAATTACACTGTGGACCCGTTAATCAAATAATGCATCAATGTTAATAAATATTAAGCAGATGTACTTGTAAAAGTAACACACATATATATATATAGGCCTATATATAGATATATTTATATAAATAAATATATATAGAATTGTCTTCAAAGAAAGAAAGACATCATGGTTTGTAGTGTAGAAATCGATATTTACAGTTACTTTTAAAAAGAACATAGGCCTATGATTCGTGCTTTTAATCTCTGGGTTGTGATGGATAACCAACTTTTTCCCCCCAGACTTTTAAGAACATTAATTTCAACCATGTTCTGTTGATCTAGGGCTAAGAGCCGGAGGACAAACAAGCTATGAATACAACTAAGTTACTACTTCTCTATTTTACTCTCAGGTCAATATCATAGTTATAGTACACATATGACTCTAAACACTCCCACCTAAATGTTATATTAATAGCTATATAGTATAATAGCAACTATGTAATATATAATTAGACTTTGAACATTGTCCAAATATGTCTTACTTTAATTTGGTGCTCCCTCCTGCCACCTTGTTCTTGTCAGTGACCGTGAAAGTCAATCACGTTTCCCTCTGCAACAACAAATCTACCAGGATTTGCATGCTGTGGCCAATCAGCACTCCTATTGCTACCAAGATTTCACCAAGAATTGACCAATCCCTGTGCCAAAGAGACATTGCATGAAATAATAAATACAAAAAGTTAGACAACGATCAAGTACAATGTTTCACTTTTACCAACATATCAAAAGTAACTCACTCCTTTATGGCTGTTGTGAATACAAATACATTGGCATATACTGTATGTATGTTAAGGAATAACCTGTGGCTTAGTAAAGTTAATGACTAGCTACCATAACTTACCTGTCCAATCACATACAGCTTGCTTTCCAATAGCGATTTCGATACATCCTACTAACATTATGTTGATGCAAAGTCAATTTAACTTGTATATCTGAGAGACTAACTTGCCTGTTGATGATATTAGCTAAGTTAACATTAAGATACAAACAGTTTTACTCCTGCTTTGGCTGGCCTATATTTCATTTTATTTTAGCTAGTCATGCAGTTACAGATTGTAAATTCATAAATAAATAGCTAAGTTAGTACTTATGCTAAAAGACCTTTGTAAAGTCCATGTCCCTTTTCCCTTATCCACTACGCCTTACTTACTTGTAGAATCCTCTTTGTCCCAGGTGGACAGAAGCTGTGTTAAATAATAGTTTTGATAGCAAGCATCACTCCAATATGATGCTTTACTTTTGTATGTGTAAACCTACTTAACAATAAAGCTGATTCTGAGGTTTTGGTCTTGGGTCGATGATTAAAGGTCTCAACAAACCAGATGAAGTGGCTCCTCCTGAGGTACAGTTTGTCGGCCGAGACTGCTGTGGCAACACTCTTCTGAGGCAGGTGTTTGAGGAGTGGGAGCAAATGACCATCCGGTTAGACATATAGCTCTTCATGCAGAGATTTGTGTGGGTTTCACCACTGACTCTCACCAGTTGTATGCCACCTTCATGAGTCGCCTACATTGGCAAGTGACAACTTCTTCCAGGTGTATCTTTTGGATGCACCTGCACATTCCCACAACCATCTTCAGTATTCATGCAAAAATAATTGCTGTCCCCACCTACACAGAAAGAAACACCTGCTGCCTCCCAAGCATCTGTGGAGCACACTAGCATGTATTTGTTGTCACACTAACTCTAACTGTATATTGGTCACAAAGACAAACTTAAACTAAATATTTACCTTTTTCATGTAGACTCTGAAGGGTCCATATTGCACGATTAAGGTCCCAGTTCTTTTTTAAATGTACATTTATATGTTTGTGAACAGAATCTGGGTTATGTTGGCTGTGCTCTCGAAGGTTTATTAGCCTTCATTGCTGCTATCATAAGTTCTAAAATTATATTTAGGATTATATTATATTAGGATTCTTTTGGACGTGACAATATTAAGGGTTGAGGCCGTGCAGAGTTTTTGGGTGGCCTCAGGGAACACTGTCTTGCCTTGACTGAAGAGTGCGCCCAGGTCATCACCCTGTGGCAGTCGTTGGGAGAGTATGAGAAGACCGTTTACCCACCATGTCATCAAACCACCCTAAGACAGGGGCGATTCAGGGCCACTTAGCAGATTGTGCCACCAGGTGTGGAGGGCACCAAAAGTATGTTAAATTTAGCAAACACAGTCTCTTTATTGTCTAAAAATTCTTAGAACAACTGACACTCATCCATCCATCCATCAATCCATCTTCATCCGCTTATCCGGGGTCGGGTCACAGGGACTGAATGTCCAGCTTTATACTTTTACTTAAGTTTATTAAAGGATCCCTATTAGCTGACACCTTGAAAACCCATCTTATCTTCCGGGATTCAAAACATATAAGACATATACAAAAGTTCTTTAAACAATAACAAATAAAAAGCATTTATTTAAAAAAAAACAAGACAACATAAATGCAAAGATATTAAAATGTACATCTAGACAATACAAAACAATGTAGACAAACTTAAAAACAGAACAAAAAAAAGGAAAACTACAATAAAAAATTACACAGAGGGTAAGGATCACACATTGAAAACAATCTTATATTAATAATATGTATTCTGCTGTAATTTGCAGCTGTTTCATAATTTGGTCCCGCACATTGGCCTGACTGCAACAAAAAGGTGAAGGCACCTGCATAAGGTAAATCTACATTTTTTAAAAAGTGAAAGTTACAAATTACATAAGAGAGTGTGATCACTTTCTATGTGATCACAGCTTTGTCACACTGCTGCATCCCAGTCATGATCAAATAGCAACTGATCACACAATCTCTAGTATTATAGCTGAAGTAAATGTTTTGTTAATACAGGTCGTTTATATTTTCGAAGGTTAGGCTGGTTTTGCGTATGGCGATATGGGAGATTCTGAAGCAGGGAATCACCAGACGCACCCACGCCAGGACCTGGGGAGCTTCCTGCGGCTATTCTCAAAAGGACCAACTCTGCATTCTGGCAATTTAACTGAGCCTCACCTTTTCATCCTGCCACCAAACATGCTGGGAGGCAAAGCTCAAGGAGAGACCGCAAACTCCAAACAGGCCATCTCTCCGGCCCCAACTCCACATCACACACTTGACTGTGTCCTTTAAGGGCTGCACAATAATATTCCTTGTCTTCATCTATATTGTGGTTTCAGCTGCACACTTGAAATTACATCAGGAAGACATGGGTTTAATTTAAGTTTGTTTTCATTGTTCATGTTTAGGTTAGTGCTTCATCAGAGGCAGAGGTTATGAGCACACACACTTGAAAAAATGTGGGCTATCGACCAAATTCTGCAAAATGTGCACTGTGTGTTGCACAGCAATCTACAGGGCAGTGCTGGGGACGACAGTCTGCATGCCTGCAGTGCCACATTGGACATGACTGTTCAGGGCTGAATGGAAATGGACTGTATTAATGCATGAATTATACTGTAAACACATTGATCAAATAACGCATCAGTGTTGTCAAAGTACCACTAAATAGATATCGGTCTTCACTGAAAGTAAAGATATGGATTTACTAACAAATTCAGGTGTTTCTACTGTAAAAAAGGGTCAAATTAAAATAGAAAGTTGGCCCATTGCAATGCATTTATTAAATATTTTCTTTACAGCAATCATACAACACGTATATGTTTGCTCTTCATTGTAACTACAATTGGCTATGAAATAAGGACCTGAAATGACAAGCAACAAGTATTAAGTTAGTAAACTCATGAATAATATAAGGATGGCAAAGTAGGCAATCAAAACAGTACTTCCCATTGCAGATCAGATTAGTATTTAAGAGGTTTTGCGCAAAGAATTTAACACAAATAAAGGAATATAGTCCTACAATATATATCTTTTTTTAAATATACAATGTTTGTAACAAAATACATAGATGTCCAGGCCTAATACCAACATCTTCATCGGTAAATAGAGAGTTTGCAAATCTGTCTGTCTGCTTGGAGCAGACTGCATGTGACAAATATTGGCTTATTGGTTTATTTACTACAGAACAGTATAACCTGGAAAAGTACAAAATAAGCATTCTTACTCAAATTTAAGCAAGACAGAAATGTCATAAAAATGTTTACATGGCTGTGAATTGGTAAGGACACAAAGGTGTAGCAACATCAAGGATAATGGCATTATTTAACATTTCTATGGAATGGTTGTGTATAAAAATGATTGTTTGATCTAATTTATTGCATAATGGAATTTGTATATGGAAAAATACCAACACTCAAGGCTCTGGTTATCGCTGTTAACCACTTTGAGAAGAAAACAAACCCTTTCTATAAAGTGGTAACTGGTTAACAAATTGAAAACGATTTATTGTTATGCTATGACTTTTTAAAATAATGTTCAAATAATGTTACTTTCTATGTATTACTCATATGTAAATACCTACAAACTGATATTATTGCATGTAGAAACGTATGGTGGAGGCACTATAGGCATCCAGACTATCACATGATTAAACCAATTATTTCCATTAATATCTTAGTTAATGAGCCAGCAGATGATCCTTTCTCTCCGACTGAAACATTAGGTAGCTGTGATTTGTCTCACATTCAACAGTGGACTTAATTATATTTTGTGTAAATGATTATCATTATTAGAATCTTCAGGCAGATGATTTATGAATCAATCTTGAAATTAAATTCAGAGCTGAAGTGCAAACGTGAAGTTGAAGGTACACCATATCTAAAACAAGTTGACTATCAGATATTTACACAGCCAACACAACTGATATTTACATAAAAAACAACAACATGGCAACACCTGCCAAGTATGTATTCAGAAGATATAACATAATGCTTAACTGCATTCAAAGTAAGGTTTTGGTGTACTTCATTATGGGGTCAAAACCTCATGAGGCATAAACTTCATTAACATTCCTGTGAAAATACATATCAAACCACAAGTATGACCTGATGCATTGCATGAATCAATCCTCTACAACAAGAATTGTACATCGCCACCACTGCTGTCTGACACTCTTGTGGCAACTCCTCTGTAAATCCACCAGGTGTCTCACTCCACCTACAGAGGTATTAGTAGGAGGAGGCGCCGCTGGAAGAGGAGCAGCCCAGCTCGATGTTCTTCAGGTGGCAGGAGTGGCAGAGAAGGTGGCCGTTCAGAGGGTAGCAGCGGTGACCCTCCTCGTCGTTGAGCTCCATCTTACATTCCTGAATATCACAAAGGAGGAACCACGGATGAGACGCCTCCACTGAAAGGTTACTTGAGTTTGGATAGAAGAACTGAGGAGAATTTGTGTGATTTCTGACCTCATTTCCAACCACTAAAAGATTGGACAGCAATAACTGCCTCAGAGGTGTTGTGTTTACAAAAGGACTGAAACTGCTCATTATTAGCAAATCTCAAATCTGTGCATACAGAGAAAAAAACATGGATTCTTTATCTGTGTTATGGCTTACAGTGTTTACAAAGACAATATCCTAATGTCAAGATGCTCCTCTCTGAGCTACTACTATGATTAACAAAAAACGACTGGAAGGATGCAGCCACTCAACAGTTAAACACTACTAACAGGGAGCTGCTCTTCACAGCCCACTGATTTTTATTCGTGAAAACAGAGCAGCTGTCAATCAGCCTTTGGCAAAAAAAAGAAGAGGCACTTGAGTAAAATGATGAGATAGGGATGATGAGGTGTTGCATACCTGCTCTCCAAAGCAGTATGTAATTAGCACAGAGACTGTAATTAAGATTGGGGATCTACTCATTATGATTTCTCTTAACGAGCCATTCAGAGGGTCCCTGGCTCAGAGCCATTAAACATGCATATTTCATTTTCCAGTTTTGTAACAGAGAAATGTGACGAGTTTTAACCCACCTCACAGTGATAGCATTCCACGTGATAGTCCTTGTCCATGGATACAACACGAACGGTTTCGTCAGACCCCTGGAAAGAAATTCAGACAGACAAACGCAGCTGAAACCAATCTCGCCAAAAGACACTCCTCCATCTTATTCTGTTCAGTCTGACAAAAGCTTCAAAAGGTCGATAAAAAGTGTGCGCACACTGTCAGCCAAGAGATGAAATGTCTGTACTTTAAAGTACTTCTCTGCATCACAACCTTGGAGCTTACGGGTTTGTCAACGGCCCTTTTACTATCAGTGGAGTTCCATTATAGTTTCTGAATTTACTTTTCAACAAGTCACACTCAAAATAGGACTTAGAAATCACATTAACAAAAATATATATAGACACAAAATATGGCTGCAAGGAGCCAAAGATTGTAGGAAATCATTTGCAAATCTGTCCAAAGATCCTATATCTCAGATTGTGTGTGATGTTTGTCCTCCTGATTATTCATGTCAAGTGTTATTCATACAGTTTAAGCCTGAGAGGGAACTGCCCTTAACATCCATCCAGCAGCTTACATAAATGCACAAGACAGACATAACCCCCTTCCCCAAGAGACACACACACACACACACACACACACACACACACGCTCTACCTCTCCTCTAAATACTGGCCTCAATGCTTACTCAAAGGGGAGGGCACGGGACATTCCAGCAAAGTCAAGTCTAAGTTTGGACATTTCTTTGCTTTTGCCAGCATGTCCTGCCTGTGTGAACTTCTCCCTACTATCATTCTGCTTTCTTCCTTAACAAAACATCAAATCAAAGCCCAGATATATTAGGCCTCACATAGTTTTGACCTGTAGTCTAGGGAATATGGCTGTATTGAAGTACTTGCTACTTGTATGCCAAGTTCTGTGTTTGGGTCATAACTGAGTTAACATGAGCACATAAGGACTCGTCACCTGCTGGGCTCCTACTGATTAAAAGGTGGACAACCTCTAGATTTATGAAGCTGATCACTCACACCATGCTGGAATTCATGTGACACTCCCTCTACATTGACATTTGTCTTTGTGGCTTTGAAGGTGCTAAAAGACTACAACTGATATCGTATAAGTCACCACTAAATATTCCCCAGTGTCAGGTTAAAAAAAATCCAAAAATTAATGCTCATATTGTTATGTACATCTACATTTCAGCCATTCAAGGAAATTAGGAGACCTGGCATTCATCTCCCAAACATAAAACCTATGCCTTAGTCAACAGCCTCTCCTGAGTGTATTTAAAGTTGATACTGGAATGTCACAGTGAGTTATCACAGTGACTTGTAAACTAAGAAGTAAGGCATTTGTGGCTGGGGTAACAGGACTTGCTATATAATGCAGTGACATTAAAACTGTCAACATTCCTTTTAATTAACACAGGGGTTCCCTGTGGAACTGGTGAAGGTGCTGACCATGAACCGCAACGCCCAGTTTAAATCCAACCCTTTGTTGCATTAATTCCACATCTTTCTCTCCCTGACTTCCCGCCTTTTCTATCAACTCACTGATAAAAACATAACATTCCCAAAACATATATGTTGTCAACATACATACTGCTCATGTAACATGACACCAGAACCACCATAACAAAACAAAACACACAACATACACGTGGTATTATACTGATTATCAAAGCATTACTTCAAATCAGTAGGGTAAGACAAGATATCCAACTAGGTATTCAAAATCCTATGTTAAAAACTTCATACCAGTGAGTTAAATGGTTTTAGTTTTTCTTTAGAACAAAACCTGAATCTTCAACATTTTAAATAATGTAAAACTTTAAGATCTCAACCTTTTTTAAAACTTATTATTGATTGAGACAAGTGTACCACAATACCTTGATATGAGAATTTTGTCAAAATATAATAATACAGAGAGACAGCACATGAAAATATTTTATCATGACCCAGTCCTGATAAAGGTGAGTGTTAGCTTACCTCTGAGGGCAAGATGGGCTGGTTACAGGCTGCACATTTAGGCGCCAGGACCCTGACAGGGTTAGATGCATAGAGAAACAAGTTTTTATAGATTTGTTTGAACTGCACTCAAATAAGTGAACTTGAGTAACTTGAATTCACTTTATCCAAAGACTATAAAGGTCACAGTTCATATTTGGTGTCACTCTCGCAACAGGAGC